GCTAACTAACACGTGTTTGTTTTGGCTGTCACTTTTGGAGGATTCGGTCCATAACCAATCAGTTCTTTGAGCCTTTGGTTGTACAGTACATCATGGTCTGAGTTGGCAGCAGAAAATTCTTGTTCACTTCCTAGTGAAGAGTGAGAGGAAGGGGCTGGAGAGCTGATAGGTCCTTCAAGGGTGCATCCTGGGAGCCTAAATTCCACCCACTTGGCCATAGCTCTTATAGGTTCCACCTCTTCCCCATAGAGCCAGGAACTGGGGGCCAAGCTTTCGAGGATGTGTATTCCCACATTTGCTCTGTGAACATGCAAACCATTTGTATGCATTTGACATTTACAGCAATGCTGCCCACTCAGTAGTGCTATGTCCGTGGGTATGAATGTCTTTGGGAGGAAAAGTGCAGGCTCAATTTACAGGTGAAGAACATGGGCTCAGTTTACAGGCTTCTTGTACCTTTAATAAGCTTAGAAATTTTTTGAGTGCCTTTCCTGGAAGGGAAGAAGGCCCTGTAAGCTTGAGTAACTTCGGGTCCTGAAGCTTCAGTTTTTCTCAGAAGTACAATGTTAAAATTGATATTTCTGATCTTTCCATCTGTCTGTGTGTCTTCTATTCTACCTCACCTCTTCCATGTCTGCACCCTTTAATCCTTCATTTTTAAGGCATGCTGAGGATGAAAGGTCCATCTTCATGACTGATTGACTTTGAGCTGGAGAAGTCTGGAAGATATAACTTATACAAGCATGTTAAATAAGGAGGGGCTAAAAATTAAAAGCAGACAACAAATGGCAAATAGTGACCCTCAGAATGACAGTTTCTGGCATAGCCTTTATTTTTTCTTTAATATTAACCTCTATTTGGCTGGAGGTATTTAGGTATAACAGGAATAAGGTAAGAACATACAGACTTCTTGTTTTCCCAAGAAGAACTAATCTAATGTCTTTTTTATTTTAGTCATGATAAAGGCCAAGGAATAAACTAAATAAAGCCATCTATCCTTTTATGTGGTCATTGGGCTGTTAAAACTTTTATTATAGTACTGAACTTGGAATTTGGCCTCTAATTGTAGACCAGAATACCTTTGTAGTGCCGGGATTCAGATAACATGAACATACAAAGTCTGAAGTAGCTAACGAAAAGTTAGTTTATCCCACAAAAATTATACTGTTTACTGGCTAGAATATTTATATTGGCATTTTTACCTTATTGGTAGGTCTATCCAAGAATTCAAACCTGTACCAGAGGGATATCTGAAAGGATATGATTAAATAATGGCAATGCACTGAGAGAGGCCCAAGAACTCCCTGGAAAAGCTAGCTGACGGGGTGGGAATTTGGACTGTCTCAGTTGTAGGTTGAGATCTGAGGGTGTAGCTGGAGACTGCCAGTGACAGCTGGTGTGGTGTGTGGAGGCCCCTTTTAGAGCCAGTATAGCTATTTTTTATATTACCTCAATTAATATAGTTTTTGGTTATATCTTCCTTGAGGGTATTTAAGACCAAGTCAAAATTAGATCTCTGCTAATGAAAATTAATTTCTTTTACTGTTAGGGCCAGTCAAAGATTCTCAGGGGTTACTTTTGATATCGGGGAAGGAGTCCTTGGGGTCCTCTACTTTTTTCTCTACCAGCAGTGCATCTGTCAGGATGGATGGGGGCTTCTCTGGGATCAGGGGCGTTTCCTTCCCCAGGACCCTCCCTGGTGTGGAGCCTGGGCTGGGTGATTCCTTGTCCAGGATTAACTGCATCCTTTTCTTTTCTGGCAGTGGTAGCCTCACTTCCACATTCCTGCCTGGTTCCCCACCCCTCTGTGATCCCAGAGGCTGCTGCCAGGTCAGCACTGCGGGTCATGTGTCCTGGGCGGGCCCTGTGCATGCTGGGGCCTGCTGGGTGGATTTGGGGCAATGTCACACTCATCCTTCTTCCCTTATTCTCTGCCCTTGATGGTGGGGCCTCTGAGGGTCACTGTGGGGCACAGGTCCCGGAGGCGGGGCTCTGTGCGTGCCCCCTGCCCCAGGCGACTTGTGCCAGCAGGACATGCTGCAGAGGGCTGGGGACAGCGCCCTTCCACAGCTGCTGGGATGGCAGTGGTCAGGCTCCCTGAGCTCCTGCAGGGCTGCATCACCTGTCCCTGGGACCACCCTTCTGTCCAGGCTGGTGGGCAGTGCTCAGTGAGGGGAGCAGGGAAACTTGGTGTGAGGTCAGCTTTGGCCCTCACTGTAAACATTCACCCACTCCATCCCCTCTTCCCTGCCTGTTAACACCACAAACTTAGAGAAATCCAGCTTCTAAGTTAAACAGAGCAAGCCTCAGAGTGAGAGAGGCAGAAGGGCAAAAAGTTTTATGGAAGAAAAGAAAGAGAACAAATCCAGCGGCCTGCTTGGCTTGAGCATACCATAAACCAAGGGCAACATCAGCTGTGGGCCAAGTACAGTGGGGGACCCTCCCCCAGCCACCTCAGAAAGAGGAATGTGTTTTAGGGGGAACAAGCTTTTGCCCTTTGCTTTAGGGACTAAAAGAGATGAGAGAAGGATTAAAGAATATTAAAAAGAGCAGCTTAAATGATATTTGATCTAAAGTGTTTAAGACCCAGAGGTGTGGATGACTGGAGAGGTTGCTCCTTCCGGTGTTACACGGCAGGGACCATCCTTATACCGTGTCTCAGTGTTGGCCCCCACACCTGGGAGGTTTTTGGTCCAGAGAGTGTGGTTCCTGTATCTTCCAGGTGAGCAAAGTTTAATTGCATGTGACCCAGGAACGTGGACTGGTGACCTGGGGAAGGGTTTAATGGGGCCACTGTATACCTGAGGTCTACTCCCTGACTCCTCTTCCCATTTCTGTTTAAAAGGAGCAAGTACCCTGTGTCTTTGGTGCTTTTATATGTAAGCACTAATTTCCTAGGGACTTAGGTGCCTCTGACCACATAAAGGGAAAATAAACCTACAGAAAGAGAGATGGAGAAAGAGAGAGAGAGGCCAGATTGTGCAATCAGAATACAAAAGTTTGAAAGAAGAAAAGCATTCAGCTATACTTACAAAAGTTGGTGACTCAGTTTACCTCCTGGCTGGTTCACCAGAAAGAGTCACCAGCAGGGTCCTAGGAAGCCCTCCAGAGAGAAGATGGGGACCTCCAGGGACCTCACCTTCGGGATAGGTTGTCAGTTTGCTGACTGACGTTGTGGAAAAGATTTGTTGACTGTATGAGTGAGAGGCATTACAAAGTTTTATTAGAATTTAAAAAATGCTCACAAGAGAGTGCGGTGCTCACAGAGTGAGGTGCATTAGGGTCCAGGATGAGGAACTCTACACGGTCTTGGGAGTGTCTTCAAGACTGGTGACCTAGGATGCTTATTCCCTTGGTCTGTCAGGTTTCCCATTTGGTGGGCTTGGTCAGAAATCAAACATCGAAGTTTAGAGCGATGCTGTGCCCTTAATAGTGCTGCTTCCTTAAAGATGACAGGCTGTGTGTGTGCGGGGGGAGCAGGCTCAATTTTAGGGGAAAAGCATACTGATATGTAGGCCCGTTGTACCTTCAAGACCCTTAAGAATTTCTTTGGAGTAAGTTCCCTGGAAGAGGGGGAAAAAAAGGCATTGTAACCTTGGGTAACTTTGTGTCCCAAAGCTGCAATTTTTCTTAAAAGTGCAATTTTTTCTTGTCTCCTTTTTATCTATCTTTCTGTCTTCTCTTCTACTCCAGCCTAGGGATCAGCCCCGGGTGAAAGCTGAGAATCTTTCCTGGCTGTTCATCTCAGCCTGGAAGAGCATGTGGCTTTCTAAATCCTCTATAGACTCAGGTTTTCCTGTCTGTCTTAAGTTCAAAGAACTTTCCCAGCCTTCTCTCTTGGACCCTAATGGAGCTGTCTCGTGTCTTTGCCATTACTTTTTGTCCTGGGCTTGGTTTGCTTGCTCGGTTTTGAGCAATGCCTGCTGTTTTTCTGGCCTGAGTTTTGACTTAGGCCAAACAGAGCTGAGGGCCTGGATCAGTATTCGTGTAGCTTCTAGATAAGGCAGGACAGACCTACACTGTAACTTCCAAATAAGGTCTGCTCTCCTCCCTCCAGAAGCAGGAAATACGGGGTGTCAAGCTCAAGGCTGCCACCACCACACCCTGGGAGGGAGGTGATGAGACAGAGAGGTGAGCACACCACAGAGCTCTCCTACTGTTTCTAGCGCCTTCTCCTTTGCCATAAATTCTTGTCTATCTTTGGGAAGTCTGACAGCTTACGTTCTGACAACTTCTGCTTGCTTTGGATGTTTATGTGGGAATGTGAGCTTGGAGCTGCTTACTGCACTGTTTTGCTGGTGCTCACTCTTCACTTCTTTGGAAATTTAATTCCAAATCAACATATCCAAGGAAACACCCTACAGAATAGTTTTTCTCAATCCTCAGAAACATTTATGGGAAAAGAAAAGAATGAAGAGAAAATGCGCCCATGTCTGAGGCTTGGCAGTGGTGGATCCCTGATGTGCTCATGAACCACCAGGTAGTAATGAGGGACTGCACTGAGGGGGTGGTGTCACAGAGTATAGAGGAGAAATCCCGTAGATGGGGAGGCTTTTAATCAACAATATGGTTATGGAGTAGGGCTTGCCAAGGTGCGTTTTACAAAAAAGAACCTGGGAATGTACATGACAGGTGGCAACTCCACACACAATTTTAAAACTCTGTGCTATGTGTTATTTAGTACAAGAGGCACGACGATAAAAAAAGAGTAAAATGTCAAGGCTACAGAGATATCCCAAGCAGAAATAACAAATGCCTGCAGCATGTACAATGAAAGTAAGGTATGGAAGTTTTAAGATGATGAAGGAAAGGGGATGTTTGCCTTTGAAGTGAACAGTTTATTTGACTCAAATACACATGAATAACGAATTCCGTGAATATTGTCTGTCATCGTTCTATTTATATATCATGACTTGGGAGAATAAAATAAAGCATCTTACCCAAATAGAATTTTTTTTTCTGACACATCCTATTGAATCAGATATTGTTGGATGGAAATGTGGGCTGTAAGAATCTGACTCATTTATTGGCAGTTTCTCAAAAAGAAAGATGGAAATAGAGAAATACAAAGGTTTGCTTATGTTCTTGCCTTTATGCAATCTTGTTCACTCTCAGTCCAAGTCAGAGAGGCAAAATTATGGGCAGATTAATCATGAGTTTAAAAAAACCCTTCTTTGGCTTCACATTGAAAAGAATTCTTGTAGTAAGCTTTTGATCTCAGATCAGTTAAACCCAGGAAGACTGAGCTGGAAGTGCAGGACAGCATCCAGGAGTAATTCTGATGGGATTACTAAATTTTCCATCCTGGCTACAGAGCAGATAAAAACGATGTTTCTTTAATTTAATAAATGTGTAAGAGAAGTGAGGCATCTGCTGATAAAAGATGTGAGCGTTTCCACTTAAGTGGGCCCCTTCGGGCTGTTTGGATGGAAACGGTGATACGCTTCAAGTCTGGATCCTCTCACGCTTGACAGTGCTCGGCTTCCTCAAGAGGAAGTGATCATTTTTATGCGTGGAAGGGTGATGCTCTGGTTTGGTGAAGTCTGGATGAAGACTACAGCAACAGCACAGTGGTGAGCTTGGTCTTCAGTTACCTGGAAAGGAGTATATTGTATATGGTTAGTGCATGCCAAATGCCAAGCACTTTGATAGGTGCATTCAGACACGCTTCTCTTATTTTGATGTCCTAAGAGAGCTGAAAGTTTTTTTACCCCCTTCTCCTGCCCTCCCTTCACCCCCTCCACCCTTCCCTATTTACAAAGACTTTGTTTCCATTTATTTCCTTTTCTCATATTTTTTCTTTTCCCTTCTTTC